ATATATATATATAATTTTTAGTTGATAGGTAGGAGGATTAGAAACATAATTATTACTTTCCAACTTTACAGTGTACTGTTTTTGATTAATTTCTACTTCATCAACCTTACTGTAATTCCCTCTCTCTCTCTCTCTCTCTCTCTCTATATATATATATATATAGATGTGTCAAGTAATAAAAATATTGTACATTTTTGGTACATGATTATGGAATGAATTAGTCTTTCTCATGCATTTCCTTAATTATAAATATATTCTTTCCATATTCAAATGAAATTACCCTTTCTGCAAAATTTTTAATAATAAATTAATAAATATATTTGTAAAAATTATTATTCACTCCTCACAATATAAATTGTATTTAAAAAAAAAAAATTCAAAAAGTTAAAACATAGATTTTAATTTTCAGTTTTAGCGTTTTATAATATTTATTTGGCCGAATCTGTGAACAGCGAAAACGGAAGGATATTATCGTATCCATTTTTCAAACTTGTATTGTGATTAAGATATTTATCAAAAAGAAAAAAAAAGATATATATGAATTATGAATTACATATTTGAAAATTAAAATCATCCCCCACGGTTTTCCTCCCTCGACCAAAAGGTAAGTAACTTCCGTTCTTCATTTCTTGACGAACTCGCTTTCGTGCAGACCACAATCCTCAATTTTGTCACGAACTTGCTGCTTAAATTCATTGCAGATCGGCTGAAAACCATTAGAGAAACGAAGAAATGATAGATATTCTCTCTGCTTTGAGGTCTCTTATGGCCTCTTATTCTCCGCCTCTCGATGCTTTAGTTGTCCCCTCCGAAGATTATCACCAGGTTCTCCTTCCTCTCTTATGGCCTCTCTTACGTGTTATATGTATTGCAAGATCTTCGTTTGAGTTTTCTCTTTTTTCCCTTGAATTGAAACCGTAATTAGCACCTTCAGTTGCAGATTTTATTTATTTGTTTGTTAAATTTGTATGTGTCAGTTTGAATTTATATGATCTTGATTAGTTTATGATTTCACTTTATTCAAGAAAAAATAATTCCATGATATTGGTGTCCTCTTTGCTGCAGAGTGAGTATGTTTCTGCCAGGGATAAGAGACGTCAGTTTGTTTCTGGATTCACTGGAAGTGCAGGTTGGTTTTCAGTCTCTGTCGATTGACTGGATTGCTCGAGTATTTGTTGTATATGGAGTCTGCAAGTTTTATTTCTTAAATGTGTATAATCCGTCATGATTAAGACTGGCGTTTCTCATTATATTCAGAATACGAGTAATTATCTGTATTTAAAGAAAAAGAAAGGGAAACTGTGTGATTATATGGTACCAACTGTTTGTCGAAGTAAAAAATATCAGTTTGCTTTGGTTTTGAGGTGTGCTTTTTGCGTATGCATATGTGAACCGTTCCTTTTTTTTTTTTTATGACTGATTTCTTATCATGTTTGATAGATGGTTTGTGTATTGATTTTGAATGTTTGCTCTTGATTTCTTTCAGGTTTGGCACTTATCACAATGAATGATGCAAGGTTATGGACCGATGGACGTTACTTCTTACAGGCAATGCAACAGCTTAGTGATGATTGGAAACTTATGCGGATGGGGGAGGACCCTGCTGTAGATGTGTGGATGGCGGATGTGAGTCAACCTTATTTTGGAAATTTCCTAATAGATTTGAAACTTTTATGGCTATGAGATTGCTCCTTGTAACAGCAAGTCATTAGTTAAACTATGCTGTTTGCTCAAATGTTGGATTTTTTTTGGGTCCTTCAAATTTTTGTGCGTATTGGTCTCCTGTAGTTGGATCACCATATGTCATCTTTCTAGTCTCATGACTTCATGGTTTGTGTCAAATGGTTTCCTTGACCTTGCAAAACTTGATGATGGTACAATTTCTCTTATTGTTTTACCTTCTTGTTGTGCAGCACTTTTTTTTTAACAAAAATTATTTTATGAGCTCTTGGGGTACTAAGTGGTCTTTCCATTTGATTTGCTTGTTTTAGAATCTGCCAATAGATGCAAAGATTGGTGTTGATCCCTGGTGCGTGTCAGTAGACACTGCACGAAAATGGGAACGTGCTTTTGCCAAAAAAGAACAGAAACTAATACAGACCTCCACTAATTTGGTGGATGAGGTCTGGAAAGATCGTCCACCAGCTGAATAAATCCCGGTGATTGTTCATCCATTTGAAGTTTGCTGGGTTGTTCAGTTTCTGCAAAGTTGAAAGATTTAGAGAAAGCTCATGCTTGAGAAAGCACATGGTATAATCCTCGCAGCACTTGACGAGTGATCTCATTATGTTGGCTAATATTTTCCTCACACTTTTGTT